CAGCCAGAGTTCTCCTTGGAGGCCAGGATAGCCAAACTTCCTCTCTCATACTTTGGACATATTGTCAGGAGGGACCAGTCACTGGAGAGGGAAATCATGTTTGCTAAGTTGGCAGATCAAAGAAAAAGAGGAAGATCCCCAATGCGATGGACTGGCAAAGTGGCAGCATCAATGGACTCAAGCATAGTAACAATTGTGAGGTTGGCATAAGACCAGACAGTGTTTTGTTCTGTTGTGCACAGGGTCTTTATGAATTAGTACTGACTCAATGGCATCTAACAACAACAAGGGAAATGAACAGGGTACAAGTCAGGATCAAAATCAACTCATGACACAGCATTTCTCCAGTTAGGAATGTCTCTTGTCTGCCATACTGCAGACATACCTCACTCTTGTTTTCAGCCTCTCAGCCATGTGACCCCTTGGCCTCTGCCCTACTCAAGCATGTTACAAAGTTCTTTTAGTCAGGCTGTCAATACCCAATGGGCACATTCTGTAAGCCTGTCTCCTGCCTATAGGCACTCAGCTTAACTCAGTCCATGGGCCTAAAACCCGAAGCTGCTCTGTCTCTGTATGCCACCACCTTGGCTGTAGCCTCTGCCAATGCCTCTGCCTGTGCTGTTTCTCACACTTCATTCCCATTCTTCCTTCTTGATTATCCTGGGATCTTCTGTCTCTGTTTCTGAGATTGTTGTTGTTGTTAAGTGCCATCGAGTCGGTTTCGACCCATAGCAACCCTGAACAGGGTTTCCAAGGCTGTAAATCTTTATGGAAGCAGACCGCCTCATCTTTCTCCCATGGAGCAACTGGTAGTTTTGAACTGCTGACCTTGCGGTTTGCAGCCTGATTTGTAACCACTACACTACCAGAGTTAGCTGGAGGGTAAAGCAAACAATTCTAAACTTAGAGTCCTGTATACCTTATTTGCATGGTCCCATCAAAATCACTGGAGTCTAGGTGTGGCGCTGTGTGTTAATGAGCCAGACTGCAAAGCTGTTTAAACTGCAAGGTTGGTGGTTCAAGCTCTCCAGCTGCTCCTCAAAACCCTATACAGGGTCGCTATGGGTCTGAATCGACTCAACAGCACTTAACAACAACAACATCAAAATCACTTAGTTGGAAATAAGAAGGTTTTGGATATAAAAGCCATATCAAGTAACTTCAAGGCACCACATCCTTGTATCAATGGCTTGGCTAAAAACTGGGCCATGTGGGTGAGCTTCCTTTCAGACCTGAAGGTTGGTTGAGAGCCATAGTCTCTGGTTCCTCCAGTCTTTCTGACCAGTAAGTCTAGTCTTTTTTTTTTTAACCATTCAGCAATGTCTTTTTTTATGTATGGGGGTTTTTTGTTGTTGTTTTTTAAAATTTCCTTAATCTCTCCATGTTGTTGTTGTTGTTAAGTGCCATC